AGTTTTGGGCAATTTTTAGACATTTTGCCAAGGCACCTCTGAAGAGACCTCAAGGGACCCTGGTTGAGAAAGGCTGGTCTAGACATTACAGTTTGGTCCTTGTCAAAGTCCCGAAAATCCTTACACGTGTCCATTTTTTTGCTTTCAATACATCAACTTCAGGGAAAAAAAAAATGTTCACTTGCTGCCTAGAATATCCCACCCGCTCTCAGGTGCCATTGTAATGAGATAATCCATGTTACCTGCCAGTGGTCATAATGTTATAGCCGGCCTGTGTATGAGGGATTAACAGTTTTCCTGGACATTCCCAATAAAAGGACAAATCTACTTTGGAGAATGTTGGAGATCACCACCCTGGAAGTACCTTGGAAGTATGATATCTGAGCTGATTGGACTACCACCCTGGAAGCACCCTGGAAGTATGATATCTGAGCTGATTGGACTACCACCCTGGAAGTACCCTGGAAGTATGATATCTGAGCTGATTGGACTACCACCCTGGAAGTATGGATATGATATCTGAGCTGATTGGACTACCACCTTGGAAGTATGATATCTGAGCTGATTGGACTACCACCCTGGAAGTACCTTGGAAGTATGATATCTGAGCTGATTGGACTACCACCCTGGAAGTACCTATGATATCTGAGCTGATTGGACTACCACCCTGGAAGTACCTTGGAAGTATGATATCTGAGCTGATTGGACTACCACCCTGGAAGTACCTGGAAGTATGATATCTGAGCTGATTGGACTACCACCCTGGAAGTACCCTGGAAGTATGATATCTGAGCTGATTGGACTACTACCCTGGAAGTACCCTGGAAGTATGATATCTGAGCTGATTGGACTACCACCCCCTGGAAGTATGATATCTGAGCTGGGACTAGTATGATATCTGAGCTGATTGGACCACCACCCCTGGAAGTATGATATCTGAGCTGATTGGACTACCACCCTGGAAGTACCCTGGAAGTATGATATCTGAGCTGATTGGACTACCACCCTGGACCCTGGAAGTATGATATCTGAGCTGATTGGACTACCACCCTGGAAGTACCCTGGAAGTATGATATCTGAGCTGATTGGACTATAGAGTATTGGTTAAAACTACGATACTAACAATGTTGGCCCTCAAATGTGAGTCTAAGCCTGCTCTGCTGCACAGTACTGAACCATATCTAGCCTAATCCTGCCAAATCTCCAGTGATAGAAGAAGATTAATTAAGATGGATAATCATAGATGTTGCTGTGCTTTCCCATTGTTGATATCTGAACTAAGGCAAATGTTCTTTTCATGCACAAAAACCCCCTGAGGCTTCTCTCGCAAAGCACTTGTTATCGCTTGCCTCAGACGCCAATGTATTTAAGCACGTTTCCCTCCTCGGTAAGTGTAAAAAAGATTTTGCATATTTTCAGTAATTTGAGGTAAAAATGCCAAGCCGTGTGATTACAAGCAGATGTTTCCTTACAGAGAAAAGATGGAAAAATGATTTTTCGAGATTGTTCAGAAATAGCCTGTATGAGAATTGTTCTGCGATAGCTTTTGCATGGAATATCTGATACAAATGACTATTGCATGCTTCTAACGTGTGTGATAGACCCCTAGTGCATTTATCCCTTGTGCGTCGCTAGGCAGCACTAAAATGGGTGCCACCCCACCACCCCCCTGGCTGTGACCACCACCAAAGCCCACCAACAACCTTCCCCCCCGTGACCACCACCCTCTGCCACCGCCACCCACCAACAACCCTGCCCACTGTGGGACCTCTTGTGTTTGCATTGAGTGCTGTCTGGGCTCCAGGTGAAGAGTGGCTCTGGAGGGAGAAGATGGGGCAGAGAGCGCTTCTGGATATCGTATGTACTCTCCAGTGCCTCAGGATATGCACAGCCAAAAGGGAAGCCAAGGGTACCAGGACAGCGACAACCAAAGGAAATGCTTCAGGGGTGCAGCCCTCCTCACACAGGGAAATCAGCCACTGGATAGAGAGAAAAACAGGTGGCGCACACACCTAGTGCATTATCCAAGATTTATTGTAGGAGTGAAAGAATAATAAAAACATACTCACAGACGAAGCATGTATCTAAAAAGCATAGAAAAAATGACAATGGCCACAACAGCAGGTAAGGTGTTCTCTTACTGTCAGTGCGGTCAAAATGCTTTTGCGAGATCGGGGACGAATCCCTTTCCTCAGAGCTGATGACCAACCTCTGATGCTGATGTATGATGAATGGAAAGTAAGAGCCTTGCTGGGAATCACAATGGAATTGCACAGGGAATCACAACGAGATGCAATAGGAGACCTATGCATTTAGGGCTTGATAATGTCTGGCAACTAAAATTAATGGCACTATGAACGGCCCCGCTGGGTAACTGGAACCAACAATACCCAACCCAATTCAATACCCAACCCAACTTAATACCCAACCCAACTTAATACCCAGCCCCTCTTGTGTTTGCACTTATTACCCAACCCAACTCAACTCAATACCTAACCCAACTTATTACCCAACCCAATACCCAACGCAACCCAACTCAATACCCAGCCCAACTTATTACCCAACCCCAACTCAACTCAATACCTAAACCCAACTTATTACCCAACCCAATACATCCCAAGCAACCAACTCAATACCCAACCCAACTTATTACCCAACTCAACTTATTACCCAACCCAACTCATTACCCAACCCCACCCCAATACCCAACCCAACTCAATACCCAACCCAACCCAACTTATTACCCAACCCAATACCCAACCCAACTCAATACCCAACCCAACCCAACTTATTACCCAACTCAATACCCAACCCAACCCAACTTATTACCCAACCCAATACCCAAGCCAACTCAATACCCAACTCAACTTATTACCCAACCCAACTCTTATACCCAACCCAACTTATTACCCAACCAAACTTATTACCCAACCCAACTCAATACCCAACCCAACTTATTACCCAACCCACTCAATACCTAACCCAACTTATTACCCAACCCAACTCAATACCTAACCCAACTTATTACCAACCCAACTCAATACCTAACCCAACTTATTACCCAACCCAACACAATACCTAACCAACTTATTACCCAACCCAATACCCAACCCATTACCCAACCCAAGTTTGATGGAAGAGTTTTCCAAGCAACAATTTTGTCAACTAATTTGATGGAATGCCTCAGTATCTGTTACATTGTAGCATGATAGGGAATAATGAGGAGCCAACAAGTGGTAAGCTTCCTGTTGCTCCCAGAAAGTGCCCCATTGAGAGATACCGGAGCTCAGTCCGCATTTAGTGGCTGCACACTGGAGGAAGCCTCTGACGTGCCCGGCGATTTTGAATGCAAAATAGGCAGTGCTGCTTCTAGAATTCTGGGGGAAATCAACCATTTTACAAGCAGCTGCTTCAGTTCTTCTCTCCTCTCTCCCCGCTCTCACAAATTTGACTGAGAGTAGTGGGAGCCATTGGTGCTTGCTATGAAGGAAGCCATTGACTCCTGCTTCTGTCAATCAAATCCTGTGAGCTGGGCCAAGCCACGCTGTGTGTGTGTGTCAGTGGGTGCACACAACCCTGTGGCTCAGGATCGAACCTGTACATCTGCCTCCATAGCAAGCGCAGACACAAAACATGAGGAGCCAAGATCACCGGCAGGGGACCCCAGAAGAGGAGGTTTGGGGCTGCTCTGTGCAATACCATTGCACAGAGCAGGGAAACATTACACGTTTATTATTTTAATTAACATAAAAAAATGTTGCCTTTAACACCGCTTTAAATTTCAGTTCAGTGTAGTGAGTAGAAAAGCCTGTCGTTCCAGATACAAATCCAACTTCTGACATTGAAGACCAATCGCTTGCTGCCTTTCCATGACAATCATTTCAAATCAACGAAAATGAAGAACTCTCAGCTGGTTAAATAAAACAAGATATTGTGTTGTAGCTTTCCATTATTTATGTCACGAGCCGCCTTCCATCCTCACTTGACTGTGTCTATCTTTCCGCGAGTTGCGTTTTTTTTTTTTTTTTCTGAGATTCCTTTGGAGTTGTCTTGAGTTCCGCTCTCTCCTAGACGCACGGACGCATTAGCACCTTCACAATGGATGTTTCCTTGTCACAGCTTTGTGTATAATTTCCATAATCACACCTGACGCTCAAGATATTCTCGGACAGAGCTCAGCAAATCACAGGAGTCAGGCAATTGACAAGCCTAAAAATTTCTGCTGGTGTCTGAATTTTGGGCTCCTTTGGTCTGCTGACGTCAGCGGATACATATCAGGCGTATCGAAATGAAATGAGACAGTAAGCTGGAATGCAGCAGGAAAACTCCAGCAAAGTAGCCCGGGTTACTCATGCTGGAGGCCAGGCATATGCAAATCTAATAAAAAAAATTGAAGGCAGCAGCACTTTGGTGACTGAAATACCTATTGAGTTGCAAAATGTACATTTTCCGAAATATTTTGTCAATTATTGCAGAGGCATACAAAACTGTAACCCTTATTATTTCAATAAAGTGATCTATTTAAAGAGGCAGTAAACTTATACTACTTTTATCCTTCTTACTAGCACCTTATGGCAGACTTACCTTTTTACTGGAGCCCTCCATTACTGCGCTGTCACTGCTGCTGGAGATACCATCTTCACCCGGTCTTTATTCCATGTCCATGTTCTCTGGTCATTTGAATGGCCAGATCTTGATGAGCAGGGCCGTTTCTAGCCTGTCCTAATGTGGGGGGTGCAGTAAAAAATGTCAGGGGGGCAGAGGATGGGAGGACAGCAGGGCAGAAGACAAGGGTCACTGCTGGCAGGGAAGAGGACAGGCATCACTGATGGGAGGGCAGAGGACAGGGGGGTCACTGCTGGCAGGGCATAGGACAGGGATCACTGCTGGCAGGCAGAGAGCAGGAGTCACTGCTGGCAGGGCAGAGGACAGGGTCACTGCTGGCAGGGCAGAGGACAGGGGGTCACTGCTGGCAGGGCAGAGGACAGGGGGTCACTGCTGGCAGGGCAGAGGACAGGGGGTCACTGCTGGCAGGGCAGAGGACAGGGGGTCACTGCTGGCAGGGCAGAGGACAGGGGGTCACTGCTGGCAGGGCAGAGGACAGGGGTCACTGCTGGCAGGGCAGAGGACAGGGACACTAATGGCAGGGCAGAGGACAGGCATCACTGATGGGAGGGCAGGGCAGGACAGGGACACTGCTGGCAGGGCAGAGGACAGGGACACTGATGGCAGGGCAGAGGACAGGGACACTGCTGGCAGGGCAGAGGACAGGGGTTACTGCTGGCAGGGCAGAGGACAGGGGTTACTGCTGGCAGGGCAGAGGGCAGGGGTCACTGCTGGCAGAGCAGGGGACAGGGGTCACTACTGGCAGGGCAGAGGACAGGGGTCACTGCTGGCAGGGCAGATGACAGGGGTTACTGCTGGCAGGGCAGAGGGCAGGGGTAACTGCTAGCAAGGCAGAGGGCAGGGGTTACTGCTGGCAAGATAGAGGGATGGGGGATTGGGGGGGCAGGGCAGGGGAATGTGTGTTCAGGGAAGGGGGGATTTGCAGTGGGGGGAGAGAGGGATTTGTGCTCAGAGGGGGACATTTGAGGGGGGGGAATTGGTTGTGCTTGCTAGAAAAAGTAATATGGCAGATGGAGGGGAAGGGGGATTTCTGCCTGGAGGGAATTTTTTCTTTTTGGGAGGGGGGACTTGAGCTAGGATGGGTGATCCGGGGGAGGTGAATGTGTGCTGGGAGGGGGGATTTGAAATGGGGGGAGATTTGTGTTCAGAGGGGAAATTTGTGGGACAGAGGATTTGTGCAAGAGGAAGTGGGATTTATTTTTGTTGGTGTGGGGGGGGGGGGGGGGGGGAATTCGTGCATATGGGAATATGGGAAGAGAGAAGATTTGAGCTGAGGGGATGGGGGGCAAAGATTTGTGCTGGGAGGGGGGCTTTGGAGCGGGAGGAGAGGATCTGTGCTTGGAGGGGAAATTTGAGGGGCAGAGGATTTGTGCTAGGAGGGGGATTTTTGTTTTTTTGGGAGGGGGATGATTTGTGATGGGGGTATATGGGAAGAGAGAAGATTTGAGCTGGGGGGAATAGGGGGTGAATATTTGTGCTGGGGGGGATTTCAGAAAGGGCAGATTTGTACTGGGAGGACGGGGGAATTTATGCTTAGGGGGTAAGCGGATTTTTGCTGACACACAATGCTCATACATCTTGAGGGGGGTGCAATTCTACAAGTGTGCCCTGGGCTCTATGCTCATGTTGTCTGGTATTGCTTCCTAGTTCCTTCTTTCAGGCCTTCCCACTCTCACAATGACCTCTCCAATGCCCACAAGTGTTAAGCCCGGGAATTCCATTTTTAACCGTTTTTCAGAAAATTGCTGTAATGCCTGTGATTCGACCTTTAGCGTCTTGAAGGAGGCAATTGGGAAGCCATTGGCCAATTCTCTTCTGTAACAGAGACTCAATTGAGTATTATATGACTGATCAGCTGAAACTCCTGCGGATTACAGAGAATACTCTTCGATGCTCTTTTCACCGCCATTAATATAATAAAAAAATACTCGCCAGAATTTTCAGAAAATTGCTGTATTACCTATGATTCGACCTTTAGTGTGTTGGAGGAGGCAATTGGGACGCTATTGGCCAATTCTCTTCTGTAATGGAGACTCAGTTGAGTATTATACGACTAATCTGCTGAAACTCATATGAATTACAGAGAATACTCTTCGATGCTCTTCTCACCGCCATTAATATAATAAAAAAAAAATACTCACCAGATTTTTCAGAAAATTGCTGTATTGCCTGATTCGAACTTTAGCGTCTTGAAGGAGGCAATTGGGAAGCCATCGGCCAATTCTCTTCCGTAATGGAGACTCTATTGAATATTATACAACTGATCAGCTGAAACTGATACAGATTACAGAGAATACTTTTCACTGCTCTTCTCACCGCCATTAATATAATAAAAAAATACTCGCCGGGTTTTTTCAGAAAATTGCTGTAATGCCTATGATTCGACCTTTAGTGTGTTGGAGGAGACAATTGCGAAGCCATTGACCAATTGTCTTCCGTAATGGAGACTCAATTGAGTATTATACGACCGATCAGCTGAAACTTCTGCAGATTACAGAGAATACTCTTTGATGCTCTTCTCACCGCCATTAATATAATAAAAAAAATACTCACCAGATTTTTCAGAAAATTGCTGTATTGCCTGATTCGAACTTTAGCGTCTTGAAGGAGGCAATTGGGAAGCCATTGGCCAATTCTCTTCCGTAATGGAGACTCTATTGAATATTATACAACTGATCAGCTGAAACTCATACAGATTACAGAGAATACTTTTCACTGCTCTTCTCACCGCCATTAATATAATAAAAAAATACTCGCCAGATTTTTCAGAAAATTGCTGTATTGCCTATGATTTGACCTTTTGCGTGTTGGAGGAGGCAATTGGGAAGCCGTTGGCCAATTCTCTTCCATAATGGAGACCCAATTGAGTATTATACGACCGATCAGCTGAAACTCATACAGATTACAGAGAATACATTTCGTTGCTCTTCTCACCGCCATTAATATAATGAAAAAAATTACTCGCTGGAAATTCTTTTGCTGATTTTGGTATTTAATGGCCTTATTCACCGCTCGGCGCTGAAAACAGTGGGAAGAACGTAGACTGGAATCGCTCTTTTATTTGAGCTAAAACAGAATTATTATCCGGCTGTGTGTGGTGGAAGTCGGAGAGGAAGTGGATGAGATTCCGCCGTTGGAGGCATCGCAGCACAAAACTGGATTTACGACCTGGAACCGCTTGTGCGCCTAATCTATGCCGCGAATTAACGCTGACAAAAGGTCTGTTTTAGCATTGTAAACGCACATTTATTGCTGGGAGAAAACTTAAAAACCTGGAGGGATAAAGCGCAGCCCGAGCCGGCTCTCCGCTTTCCATTACACAGAACTATCTAGATTTGAAGATATTCTCGTGTTTACCGAGTGAGGAGGTGAATGTCAAATATCTGCTTTTCACACACAAGATTTCATTCCTCGCAGCTGTGCGGGAAAATAGTTATTTGACCAGAATTTGACTCACTTCCAGACACAACTCCTGTCAGATGGAATGAATATTTAACAGTGGAAAGGAGATTGTCAGATTTTGGGTGAAATGTACAAACAGCTCCGGGAGGGGAGGAGAAATCTCATTAAAATGGATTAGTGGTTTTTAACTTTTAAAAGCAATTGATATATTTTTAACATGCTTGCATTGGGCCAGCTTGGCAGGATGGAAATATAAAGTTGTTGCACTTGGGATCGCAGAAATGTTTTATGTAACACAGGATAAAAGTCACAAGTGTGCTCCCATGCTTAGGCGTTTTTAGCCCAGTGTGGGCCTCAATCATAGCTATGACAAGGCTGAAACGCGTAAGTTTGGAGGCGTACTTGTGACTTTTATCCTGTGGTACATAAAATATTTCTGGGATCCGAAGCTATAATTGAGGACCGCGCAAGGCTGAAACGCGTAAGTTGGGGGCACACTTGTGACTTTTATCCTGCGGTACATAAAATATTTCTGGGATCCAAAGCTATAATTGAGGACCGCGCAAGGCTGAAACGCGTAAGAGTGGGGGCACACTTGGGACTTTTATCCAGCGTTACATAAAATACAACGGAGATCCAAAGCTATGATTGAGGACCGCACAAGGCTGAAACGTGTAAGTGCGGAGGCGTACTTATGACTTTTCTCCTGTGGTACATAAAATACTTCTGGGATCTGAAGCTGATTGAGGACCGCACAAGGCTGAAACGCGTAAGCGTGGGGGCGTACTTGTGACTTTTATCCTGTGGTACATAAAATACTTCTGGGATCCAAAGCTATGATTGAGGACCGCACAAGGCTGAAACGCGTATGCGTGGGAGCATACTTGTGACTTTTATCCTGTGGTACATAAAATATTTCTGGGAACCAAAAGCTAGGCCTCAGGACTGTACAAGACTGAAACGCGTAAACGTGGGGCACACTTAACTTTTATCCTGTGTTACATAAAATACTTCTGGGATCCAAAGCACGTGTGCCGGTTTGCAACTTTGTATTGGAGGAATGTCTATCAAGAGCCCATTGTGAATACAGCACACCATCACTAAGGACAAAGTAAATGTAGTGCCCTTCTAGTTAGCTAGGGGGAGCTGGATAGGTTTTCAGTTAGAGGCTGGTGTGAGTTAGCCTGGGATGGGCAGCAAGGTCATTTTTAGGTCAGGGCTGAGGGCTCTGCAGATCAGTTCCCTGTTACCTTCCCCTGTTATAGAAACTTGAGAAGTTTCTAGAAGGTAGTGGGTGGGGGTGAGGAGGGGCTGATCTGCATACTTAGGGATCTTGGCAGGAGGCTTGGCATGGGGCCAGGACTTAAAAGTAAGAGAGCCTGATCAGCAGGAGTAGTGTCGGGTGGAAGATGGAATGAAGGCCGGAATGTGTAGCCTGAGAGGGGGCCTAGGAGAGGGACTTACCTGCAGGCAGGCTAGGAGAGGGACCTACCTGCAGGTAGGAGCTTGAAGGGAGGATCTCTCAGCCATCCACTGAGAGAGGACAGCCTGGAAAGCAGGGAGGGAGCCAGCCCAGCTACAGGCCTGAAGGCCGCCACCAACCCACAAGCTTGCAGGAGAGGATTGAATGAGTAATCCCACACAACCTGGGCCAGATAAGGTGAGAGAGCAGTTAGGTGGCCAACCCAACTAGCTCCTCATCTGGAGCTGCTTGACTAAAGTTGCAGTTTCTGGGTCCCCTTGCTCAGGAATTCCACAAGGAAGCTGGGAGAAGAGGATATTCCATCTGGGATCTGAGGTGGTACACCAGGGGGGCTGCAGATCTCTCTAAGAAGAGAATCTTTTTTTGTGGAATTGTACATAGTTACTAAGGAGTTGTCCTCAAGTTGCACTTTCGTTGGGCATCCCATACACCCCTCAACCCCATCCAAGTTCAAGTACTTATTTAGTTGCTCCCAGTAAACGATTGTCCACATGGTTAGCCTTGTTCAGCATACAATATGGTGCTGAACATTTCCATCGATTCACATACAGTCGTTCTCTTTCCAGCAATAACTGGCAAACCAAATTCGAGGTGCCAGTCAACTCTTCCTTCCTCTGGTTTCCATTGGGGAATTGTGGTAGGGATGCACCTGTGCCGTACATAGCCAGGACCTACTATGGCTAAAAAGAGAATCTTTGTCTGTGGAATTGTACATAGTTGCTAAGGAGTTGTCCTCAAGTTGCAGTTTCCTTGGGCATCCCATACACCCCTCAACCCCATCCAAGTTCAAG